GGCGGGTCAGGAGAGGTCTGCCATGTGATGTGGGTCAGGTCCAGGGCGAGGATCAAACTCATGCTGAAGGGCTTTAGCTTCTTAGTGCTGTGCTATAACCCGCTGCGCCACCAGGGAGGGCCCTGAGTTCCCCCATTTTTTTAAATTATAACAGCATGGTTGTGAATGTTGTTATAAATGTCTCCTAGTGCATATGTACAGGAGTTTCTGGGAGACGCTGGACCATCGAGTTGCATATCCTTAACTTCACAAGGTAATGTCCAAAGTGATTGGTCCAGTTACATTTCAACCAGCAGTGACCATTCTTTCATGTCCTTATCCTTACTGTCTTTACTCACTTGTTTATTTTTAATAATTATTTTGAAATATTATAGATTCATAGGAGATGATAACAAAAATATACAGGCGAGTCTCTCATATCTTCAACCAGTTTCCCTAAATGGTAACATCTTGTATAAATATAGTAATAAAGCCAATGTTAACTTTGAAACAACACACAGAATTTATTCAGACTTAATAACAAATCTTACTTATATTGACTATAATTGTCATAGTCATAGTTTCAATTTTTATTTATGTATGTGCATGTGTCATAGTTTTTATTGTATAGATTCTATAACATAGCCAAGATACAGCCACGATAAAGTGCTACTCTGATCCGAGAGAATTATAGCCACTAATGCAGAGGGACTGTAGTACTGCAGCAGCCATGTATCCCTCTCCCTTAGCAACTTCTAACCTGTTCACCGTCTCTGTTATTTTGTTTCAATGTTTTTATAAATGGAATTATACAGTATTTAACTTTCTGAGATTAGCTTTCTTTACTCAGCCATATCCCTGGAGATCTAACCAAGTTGTTACACATAGGGACATATTTCTTTTTATTCCTTTCTATTTCATATCCTGGATGTCTCACAGTTTAACCATTCACCTGTTGAACATTTGGATTATTTTCAGTTTGGGATTATTACTGATAAAGTTGCTAATAAATATTTGTGTACAGGTTTTTATGTGAACCTGCCTGAGTTCTCATTTCTCTGGGGTCAGTGTCTAAGAGTACAGTTGTTGGCTTGTATGGTAAATAAATGTTCTGTTTTATAGGGAACTATCAAAACTGTCTTCCAGAGTATCTTGTGTTAACACCAAGATTGTTTCTCTACCTTCTTACTGGTTTTTGTTATTTTCACATGGGCCATTTTAATAGCTCTGTAGTGATAGTACATTGTAACTTGCATATTCTTAATGGCTAATGTTGTGTATCTTTTTTTTTTTTTTTAATAAATTTTTTTTTTTTTTTTTTTTTTTTTTTTAAGATTTTATTTATTTGTGCATACAGAACTGGGGTACAGGCCAGAGGCTCAGGGGCGGTGAGAGGCTTCACCAGAGACAGAGTGGGGAACAGAACAGGCAGATCGACGAAGTACACTGCTGAGGGGAGCAGCGGGCGGGCCAGGAGAGGTCTGCCACACCATGTGGTCACCCCCGGGGCAGGCTGGAATTGAACTCATGCAGAAGTGGCTTTAGATTCTCAGTGCTGTGCTTTAACCCGCTGCGCCACCAGGGAGGGCCATGTTGTGTATCTTTTTATGTATTTCTTCATCACTTGTATATCTTCTTTCTGTGAAATTCTGTTCTTATATTTTGCCTATTTTCTAATTGGATTATTTGTTTGCAGTTGAATTTTGAGACTTCTTTATGTCATAAATGTCTTTTAAAATAATTCTTTGTTTCTTCCCTTGTCAATATTTAGAAAACTAAATGTTTAAAGAAAGAACCACCTCAGCAAAGTTACTCAAAGTTTGGATCGCTGCCTTTTGGGACTGAAGAGGGAAAAATGAAGGTACTTGTTTAAAAAAAACTCCTTCTTTGTTCTAAATGCTATTTAAATACTATCAGTCATTTGAAACTGTTCTTGGTGACTTCTTTTTCCCTGAAGACTACCAGTGCAAACTTGCATTCCACAAATACAGGTATGCAGAACCTCCTAGAGATGATGCAACATTATGGCCCACGTAACCTTCAGAAACCTGCTGACATGACTAAACCTAGATGTCTCAACGAGCCTACTAGCTCATGTAAAACTATACTGCCTGACTCAAAAAAGTCCATTTCCACTTGTGACAGTTTGTCTGAACTTTTGATGGCAATGCAAGATGAGCTGGACCAAATGAGTATGTAAGTATTGTTCTTTATCAAAAGAAGTAGCAAGATATTTAGACACCATTTTTTCTTTAGTTTTAAGAACTATACCACCTATGATTCATAAAGACCTTACTTAGCCATTTGAACTATTTTGATATGCAGATTTGTTACAACTGACTTTTCATTGTACTTATTGGTACTATTTAAATTTTCAACTGTGTTTAATACTATTTGTCCAAAATAAGGAATTTCTGTATTCCCACATCTGGACTGATAGACAGATATTGCTAAAATTTTAATAAATAGGATCTGGTAACCTTAAATTAAAACTCACAAAAAATTTTATAAGGAAAAATTTCCTTTTTTTTCCTATAGTCTTTTAGTGATTTCACTGGACAGGTATGAATGCAAGTTTAGTTTTAGACACTGGCTTGTTTACATTACAAAAATATAAGCATCTTTAGTAAATAAGATTCTATAATATGTATTTTAAGCCTCAAGTTTAAATATATATTTAACAGGACATATGGAAGTTGGCTGGCAGTTACTTGAACTAAGATCTCTATAGATGACATAACAGTCTACTGACAGTAGACTAGAAATCAAGGGGATTTCTCAGACAGATACTTCTCTGTAGCTGGAATTCTGGATTCTAAAAATCCTAATTGCAAAATTCCAAGTTGGTTGAAAGAGAGTCCTTTAAAAAGTCTGTAGCTAAGGACATCAGACTACTTTGCTATATTTAGTTATGAATGTCAAGAATTACAATTTTTACAGGTTGTTTCCAAGCCTGAATTTAAGTTATTTCTAAATATATTAATCTTAAATCATAGTCTATTTATATTTACCATATTTTTTCAACTAGATAACATTACAGAAAGGGACTATATTTGAAAATTAACTTAACTCAGAAATTTATGATTGAACAGAATATTGCTTAATTTTGGCAAAGACACATACCAAAACTATAACAGTATTTGACATGTGATTTCTTTCATAGGGAACACCAAGATCTACTCAATCAAATGAAAGACACTGAAAGCCATTTAGTCTCTGAAGATATAGAAAATGAACTACAGCATTTAGTCAAGAAAATGAGAATTAAAGGAGAACAAATTTCCAAACTGAAGAAGCATCAAGACAGTGTAAGAAGGCTTTAGTGAAGTATTTTAATAAAAAGATAAAATATCTGGATACAGTGTTCCATCTCTGTGACTTTTCAAATTTGAGGTCTGTTTGTGTATAAGTGAAAATGCGACTTGTGTCTAATAATCACTTAAGCTTTTTACAAAGTGAGCCAGAAATGAACAAGAAAATTTACTTACATATAAATGGATTAGTATAAATGGATTAGGCTAGGGTTGTGGTGTGTTGCTAGGTTTTGTTTTCTTCTGCCTACCCACCTATTACCAGATGTTTCTCAATGACTTTTTTTGATATCTGTATTTACTAGCATTTTAAATTTTAGAACACTGTTAAGTATAGTAAAATACACACACACACATACACACACACATAAATCTGTATGTGTACATACTTACATATTTTATTTGTATGTGTGTGTCTGTATAAAATGTCACCTTAAAGATTCTCCTGTTTTCCAATTTTACTCACTTATATCCTCCTAACCTCCTTCTTAGTTTCCTAAGTTCATTCATTGATTGTGTCCTACTTTGGTCTTCTCAAATACACACTTTTCATACTACTAAAAGTTACCCCAAACTAAGTTGTTCTTTAGTGGTTTTCTTTCACTCATAAAAGGAGTAAGTTCCTTGAGAGCAAGGATCCTTTCATTTGTTTTTGTCATTGTCATATTTTTCTGATTAATGGCAGTATGATGCATATGATTTGTATTCACCAAATAAAAACTTAAATTGAATTTTAAATGTCAAGTAATCTTCAAACCATCAATTCAACCAATCTATTCAATGTTTTTAGTGTCTTTTTGACTAAAATGTTAGATTTTCTTTTCTTTCCAGGTTCGTAAATTGCAGCAAAAAGTTCACACCTCAATGATGAATGAAGCTTCAAGTATTCAGCGAGAAGATAGCAGCCCTAAGGCCTCAAAGGACATCAGAAGAAGCCCCAGAAAATGTTTGCTAACTAACCCTCTTCAGAAGAACAGCAACTTTCATCCAATACAGGTCCATAATCTTCAAATGAAATTGAGAAAAGATGATATCATGTGGGAACAGTAACAGTCACAAAAATGAACTCTTGTCAATGAACCATTGAGTTGTCTAAAGTGGTTTTAATTTAATATACCTTTATGAAATTTTGAATTATGTTTCTACCCTCTATAAAGAATTGACTTGTGTTATTTTTAAATGAATGACCTAATGGCTTCCTGATAGTTCCAAATAATAAATAACTGCTTTCTTGTTTTTCTAATTGATGAAATATATAATAACTATCCTATTTTAAAACTACTGTTCATCTTGTACTTTAGACTACACCTAAGGATTTATACTGGATTGTTAAATAGTCAGAATTAAGTTTTAGATGTGAGTACCATTCTACTTTCTCTTTTAGTAAGCTTGTAAACCTTAAACCAATGTAAAATGAGTAGAACATGTAGAGATCTTTTAACTTTGCTGCTGCTTCCTCCCTGTCTTATTTTAGAGCTCTAAAATGTTTTTCCTTTTGGTGAATGAAAAATTTTAATAGGCCTTCAGTATTGTGAAGAGACCTTTAACCCAGCTTTCTATGTGGCAATTACAAAGAGAAACCCAGTTACTTCATTTTTACAACAGTAACTCATCTTGTAGAAATTTTTCTCTTATTTCCATTCTCTTTTATAAATCTGTTTTTTAAATACCAGTGATCTCTCTTTGCAACTTCTATAATTACAACTTTTATTACTTTTATTATATGTAGTATTCATCAGCAAACTGAGAATGTGATTTTCCAGGGGGAAATATGGCACTTTTTATTATTATTATTTTTAAATCAGTGATAATAGTACAAGATTTCTTTGTATCTTTGTTCTTCATAATAAAAACATGCTCGTTGCCTATTTTCCAGACATCCATAGAAACTAGTACAACTCTTCTGAACGTTTTTGGTTTCGAACAGAAATCATTTGGGGCAAATAGAGAATGGGCTTCATCAACTGAAGTAGAAACAGAGGACAGAGAGAAAGGATGTGATAGAAGGGACAAGCTTAAAAGATAGGGTAGCAGTTGAAGAGGTGGTGACTCCCAAGGGAGGAGTTGGAGCCACAACTTTATAGGATTCCTTGAATGCACAGCTGGGAGAATGTTCAGGCTCTAGTGTGAAAGACTTTTAGGTCAGGATTCTGGGAGCTAAAAACTGCAACTTTTGAAAGATAATCCTTTTGTCTTAGGAGATTCCAAAATGTTTATGTAGGTAAGGGAGTGGGGGGATGTGGACCTTCTGAGAAGAACTGTGAGTCTTTCTTATTGAAAGAAGTTCCCATGCCTTTCTGTGCCTGAAATAGGGAGATGATTGAAAATGGACAGTTTGATACTTGGAATTGCCCTTGAAAATAAACTGAAAGCAGAGATAAAAGTTTCTCTCCCTCAGAATGAAATTGCCCTTGAAAATTAACTAAAAGCAGAGAGATAAAAGTTTCTCTCCCTCAGATTTAAATTGTACATGTGCCCTTCACACACTTTCCCTCCCTTCCCTGTTTCTTGTCCTTCAGCCTCAGAGATGTTTCACAGAGTGCTTTGTCTAAATTCAGTTTTGTCACCTTGCCCATTTTTGTACTTTGCCTTGCCTCCTCAAGAATTCTATAATACATACTTAGCAAAAAACACACCAGGGCCGTAATGTAGTTGTGTTTGTTATATCCCTTTGTTTTCTATGTACTTAGAACAGTGGCTGAATATGTTTATCAGCAATGAAATCATTACTTGTCAAAAATATAACTAAGACAAACTACCATTAAAATAATTGAAGTTTTTGTTTTTTAGGAGCGCTTGAATGTATTGCAATTAAGATTTGAAAATTTACTTGTAAAATTAGTGTAGTAGAAAAACATAAGCCCCAAATTAGGAGGTTCAGGCTCAATTTTTACTCTACCATGTAGTACCTTGAATAATCAACTTTTCGGAATCTCCTTTTCTCATCTGTGCAATGGAGGTTATATTACTACTTCCATCATGAGGTTCTTATGAGGAAGACATAAAATAACATGTCAACGAACCCAATACCAGAATTGGCACTGCGTAAAACTCTGTAAATGTTAAATCTGAGTGGGAAAAAAAAGATGTAGATCCCAAATTTGCATGTATTAAAGCTCGAAAGTAACTGAAATGTAGTCTTCGAAAAAGCAGCAATAATCTAATTTACTTTATCCTTTTCTGTGTGCGGGAGAAAATTGCTTCTAGCAGGCGGGAGTAGAGTACCGTGCAGCACCACATCCTAGCCCAGAGCAGAAAGCCATACTCCCACGCAGCAACTTGCTTTGGAGTCTGTTTTTGGTTGTTGTGGTGACATTTATTGTAGTGAGACAATGAAGACTGCTCTCATGTTGCTCCATCGCAGCAGCTGAACTCAAAGTACGGCTGCCCTCTGACTGCCGCTTGCCCGAGCCTTTGACTCCTGGGGGGTGGAGCAAACGATTTCCTTCCTGGACGCTGGCAATCTATGGTGAGTGTACAAGAGTTGCTGTAGCAACCACACAGTTATGCTCTGCCTGGCAGAAACACAGTACGATAGCATTGATTTTGTTCACTTAGGTGAAAAACAGGTTTTTAAAATTTTCCATCAGAAATCAAAACAAGGAAATTGGGACTTGGACCTTTGGTGAAACTAGAAGGTTTGAATGTTTGAAGCAGCAGGTATTGTGAATATTCTAATTCTGGAAAGGGGAGTTGGAATCCTGAATTAACTGTATTTGTGTGGGTCACTGACAATTTAGCCATCTTGATTATGTTCTAGATAGGAGGGCTGGAGGGAAATGCCCCGTATTCAGCCGTTTAAGCTTAAAGGAGTTCTTCGAGCAGTGAACTGGCTGGTTGGGATGCTATACTTTAAAATTATTTTTCAGGTTTTTGTATAGCCTTTGTAAAAATGCAATTTTAACTATATAGTCAAATTCTTAATCCACGATAAGACATGAAAAACTTAAATTTTATCTGTAACGTGAGAAACTAAGAGGAAAAGGCCAGCTGGTCGCGTGCAGTCATAGGAGGGCGCACTCACCGTGGCCAACACTACCCGGCTGTCTTGGGTGTCGAGTCAATAATGAAAGTCCTACGGGGTTTCCTGGAACCTATTCAGCTGTGACTAAAGCTGTACCTACTGAGAACACTTAATTGTATGTGAAGTTCAGATAAGTACAAGCTGACTCCCAGATGTATGAGCCAACCCTCCCTGAGGCATAATAGCCTCTGTGAAATTAAAAACCTCTTGTGGGTACCATGGCACCTTTTAATTAAAGTAAAATGAGGATAAATAAAATAAATTTATTCACTGATCTGAAATAAATTTGCCTCTTGGTAAGTAGACTTTGCCAAAGTATCAGTTTTCTTCTTACCTAGTTATTTGCACATAACTTTCCTTCTTGGTTTTGTTATGTGAGGAGAATTGGACTAAAAAGTTATGAAGTTAAAGTTTTAAAATATTGTCCAGGTCAAAAGTCGATTTTACTATAGCTATAAAGTGTTTACTTAAAAAATGAATCAGATTTTTTTTTCCCCTGGAGTTTTTGTAAATCTTTATATTGAGATAGAATCATTAGTGCAAAATTCTACTAGTTGCTGTAGTCAATCATTAGAATTAAAATTAGCACCCCGCCACTGTAGAATTATTTTATCTGCATAGATCATTTTATACTTATGTGTTTAGCAAGTTTAGCAGAAAACAGAAAAACAAATTGATCACGTGGTACTTTATGCCCTGAAGCAGTTTTGTGACCATGTAAGATTTGTTAACGGCCATTTCAATAGTCCGTAAGGTTGGGAGACTGGTTCCAGGGGTTGGTTGCTATTTTCCCTACCTATATTTGGCTTCCCTAACCCTCCATCTTTCTTCTGATCTCAATTTATTGCACCCTCTAAAAGCTCTTTCTGTGCTTCCCCTCACACTTCTATCTTCTCTCAAATCTGGCTTCAGTGCCTTTTCTAGGTATCGCTATCTTTCCTCTTCGCTTACCTCCTTGCTTTTGTCTTCATCGTAGATGAAAGGTTCCATGAAGGCAAGATCTTCCCTTGCTTCACGTTGTAACGCAGCACCAAGCATAATACCTCTTCAAAAGTATTTGATAATTATATTTCATGAAAATATGTTAACATTATTTGGTGGTCTCACCTGAGTGAGTTCGTTGGGTCAGGTGCTGCTGGTTCAGACCCTAGCCCAGCTGTAGGCTATTTCACCTTTCAAGGCTTTGTGACCAGATAAACATTACCACTGGTTAAGAATATCCCAGCATTTTAGTTTGTTTGGAGTGGGGGTTAAGTTCCTTTGACAGCAGGTACTTGGGATGATGCTTTCTTTGATCATGTGATACTAAGAGGAAGAGTTTTGAAAGCCAAGGTTATTCTTTATTTGCATGTTGGTGTGTTTGGTTTGTTCCTCCTGCAAAGTATGATCTCTAATAACCAAGTATGTTTTTTATTTTTAAGATACTGTGCTAGGTGCTCTTAAAGATTCAAAGGCTAATTTATGATTGGATGCCGTCTTCAACTTACTTATTTTCTGATAGGGGTGAAAAGACATGAACATAAATACAATAAAAAGAAGGAAACAATGGATGACATAGAGGTGTAGTGATCACAGAATAGTCAATCCTTGTTTTCATAAAGTTAGTGCATTTGTATTAGAGTTTTTTATTCTCTATCTTGTACTATCATCTGCTTTTTAACCTGGTGGCCATATGGGACTAGATTCTTCATTTTCATTAGTATTATTGAATGAAATTACCCTCCTACTTAGTAATTTCAAACAAATACCCACATAACCAGTATTAACTTCAAAAACATGAGGAGATAAAAATGGGTGTGAAACACAACACTGAGGTAAATGAAAAGAGTGGAGAGTGAGAAAGGCAAAAAAATCAAGCAAGAATGGCTTAGACAAAACAGAAAAATAATAACATATACAGAAAATTTATATTCCAGTAGTTGTTGACTTGCACAAAATATACAAATGACTGCTGCCACATTACTTATGAACTAAAACCATTTAATTTCTTCATTCTTCAGCATCCTCATCAGTTGAATCAAGTCAGTGTTTTTCAAAGTACAAGGCTAGTAATAGATTGTAAATTAAGTTAATGACTCACTCCAACATTTTTAAAATGATACAATTTTCAAACGAAAATGCAAAATACCAGCATATATCACCCATAGAGAAGTTTGTATTTTGTGGAACTTTCTGAGTATTAAATTTTAAATGCAGTGCTAAATGTTATTTGGGAAAGATGTTAACTCTTGATAATGTCCAAAAGGAATGACTGTGAAAGATGTGAGGGGAAATGCGATAGCTGATTTGAAATAGGAATACCCCCAAGTTCCCTCCTCTGATTTGTGGTAATCGATCATCTATTGAGGAAACACATGTATACTGTTTGTTTCACAGTAGAATGCCTATTTTAATCAGTACTATTGCATTTTCCCTGTCAACAGAATATTCTTTTCAGACACTAGCCAATCCTCATAGAGAAATGTTGCTTTTCTAGTGTGTACACAAATAGATTCACCATGAAGCCCTTAACAAATGGCCCCATTGTTTCTCAGCCACTGTTGCTAGTTAATCACAGCCTGTGTACAATCTAGCCAAGTGTGGGTTTTATGATTAAGCAAAAAAATTCATTCTGCAGGTACTTTAGTCTTAAACTTTTAAAAGATGTGTGTGATTTGTTGGAGGAAAAATTGTGTGTATGTCTTGAGTCTGAAATAAAGATTTATCCCTTGACAAACTGAATTTCAACAGTCAAAAGCACTAAAACTAAAAGCCTGACCTACTTTAAACATAGGTCACTTTAAAAACATGTCATCTTTCTGAGCAGTGACCACAGAGTATATTTAAATGATTGGTGAGTACAGAATACACAACTAGATTTAATAAAGATTAAATAAGGTAACTACTACTATGAAAGGGACTTTTATCTCTGCGACTCTTGATAGCCCATGCAACTTCAGATCTATCAGAAAAGTAACTTTACTCTGGATTTTGGTCCGATCATAGAAGTACTAATAGTAGAATGAATTTTATCATCTTGGAATTCTGCCCATTTATAAATTTCTAAAGTTGATTACATCATTAAAGAGATCTTATTTTTTATGAAAAGAAGATTGTAAAGTGAGCTGGACTTAGTTGGAGTTAAAATAATAACTTTTGATCTAATTTTCCTTAGGCTAATCAGATTAAATTCAATTTTAGTGAATTTTTGGATAAATTCAAAAAACCTTGAAAGGTAGATTCCTCGGTTACGTTAAAGTTAAATGCTCAGTGACTTGTAGGGTACTTCTTAGGGGAAAAAAATCTGTTTATGGACTAGTA